CTTAAGAAACTTGGTTAGCAAGCCAATTAAAAAAATTATGATATTAGTTAATTTAATAATAGAGATGGCCCAAAAAATCGGAACAGAATGGAAAAGTAGAATTTCCGTAAGTCGTCTCTAAATATTGCGTATAAAGCGCTTTGTTGTTAGTTATTTCCCATTATTGTTGTATTTTAACATTATATTTATCCAAAATGGCTATATATTAGATTCTAATCATATATATCAGATATACATATTTTCTTGCTACTTTCTTATGAAGCTTAATCATAGTCAAATTGCATCTCTTAATTAATAAATGCGTTTATGAACAATAACTGCGCGTGGGTTGGGATTTTTTGTGGGGGAGCGGGGGGGGGGTGCTAGCATACAACCCTAATACTATGCATCAATAAAAAAAAAGATTTAAATATGCCAGTGTATAATTACGTTTTATATTTGTAATTGGTAGGTCTCATGTTTATGAGCCCTATTGTCTAATCTTGTTTTGATGATTACAAAACAATTTCTAATCTTGGTTTTTAGTATTTGTGTTTTCCTATAACATGCATCCAGGTTAAATTTGAGCATAAAGATGATATTCAAGGAGAATGGATGAAATTACAATGAAGCCGTCACAAATCAAGTCAAGAAATTAGAATGAAGCCGTCGTAAATCAAGTCAATATATTTTATCACTCAATCCACTACTAAAATCGAACCCAAACGAAGATTATTAGTTTGGGTAAAATAGTTTAGGCTTTTACTTTATGTGCTCATACTTAAAAGCTCAAACTATTCACATATGCACATTTTGATTTATTGACAAAACAATGTGTTTTTGGATTATTGACTTAATACAACTATTTTACATCTTTTCCAAAGTCTATTAATGTATTCAAAAGGATTTTCAAACTTGTTTGAAATTGTTTTGTCAAAATCAAGTATTTAACGAATTCGTATTTTTGAACGTTTTGCAAAACAATAAGTTTTCATAAATGGGAAATAACATTTTAAAAATTTACTTTCCAACATGTTCATTTTCATGTGTATAAACATTTTCCAAAGTTTTACTAATTTTGGAGTTGATTTACTATTTTAAATCAATTTTACAAAATCAACTCTCAATTAAGTCAAGATCTGTTGTGTATGTTTATCGGTCAACCGATGAGAGTCCACCAGTCGACCGATGCTCTTTCATCAGTTGACCAACAAGCCAAATCAGTCAACTTACCAATGCAAATTTTTAGCTTGTGTTTTTTTAAAGTCTATCAGTTGATCGATACAAGTTATCAGTCGACTGAACAGTGTTCATCAGTCGACTGATTTTGTCTATCAGTCGACCGAAGCATAGTTATTTGTTACCGTTGCTATAATGGTTAGTTGATCAGTCGATCAAAAATTTTAACTAGTCGACTGATCTGCCTTTTTCACTTTGACGACTAGTTTTTGACTGCTTTGTTTTTTAGGCTATAATTACTCCTCAAGCCTTAGTTTTTAACTAGAGTTTTATAAGATAGTTTTGGGCAGTTTGTTTTACATTTTTGTAGATCAAAGTTTGTTTATGTGAAGAGAGTTTCACAAGAGAAGGATCTCAACTTCATTTTGAGGGTTTCAACCTCAAATATCTACATCTCTTGTTTGGAGAAGTTTTCTAAACTCTTCATCTAGCTTTTTAATACTTTGTTTCTCATATATTTATGCTAGATTGATTTGAGTTTATTTTTGTTGTACTTATTGATTACACACACCCACACACCCACTTGAGCTTTAGTATTTCACATTAAGTATATTTGGGTTGTGAGAGTGATTTATTGAGTGAGCTTAATTTCATTCTCATCTTGTTTAGAGAATAAATTATTTATCTGCACTTTGTAGGCTGTCAAAAAATCATAATAGATAGTTGATCCCCATCAAAACACCGATGATGGAAGTTACAATCTGACGACTTCCAGAATGCTACAATTTGAAGACTTTCACGTAGATCGCTGAAGGTTACAATCTGACGACCTTCACGATAACAGATGAGAGCTCTAGTTTAACAGCCTTCATAATCAACATCGAGAGTTATAATCTGACGACTCTTGCATATCAAAGAGCTAAAGTAAAGATTACAAAATGACGATCTTTGCAAAATTTTGATAGAAAGAGACTACAAATCGACGGTCTCTTCAAATCAAGACGTGGAAGTCCTCCCCGCGTACCAGCATCAAGATGCGCCACGTTCATGGCCACGAACGCAGCTCAACGCAGCTCATACCGCAGCTCAACGCAACTCCAACCGCTGCTCAACGCAGCTCCAAACGCTGCCCAACGCAGCTCTATACCGCTGCCCAACGCAGCTCCAAGCGCTGCCAGACACAACTCTATACCGCTGCCCAACGCAGCTCTATACCGCTGCTCAACGCAGCTCCAACCGCTGCCCAACGCAGCTCCAAGCGCTGCCAGACGCAACTCTATACCGCTACCCAACACAGCTCCAATCGATGCCCAACGCGGCTCTATACCGCTGCCAGACGCAGCTTTAATCACTGCCAGACGCAGTTCCATAACACTGCGAAACGCATCTTCAAACATCAAAGAACGCAGCTCCATGTCGCTGCAGAACGCAACTTCCAAATTGCTGTAAATACAGCTCAGATCCGTTGCCAAACGCAGCTCTTAAATCACTGCAAATGAGCTTCCAAACGCTGCGTTCGAGCTTCCAGATGCTGCGTTCAAGCTTTTAGGCATTGCGTTTGGACACAGAATTCATGCCAGAACGCGGGCCTGCGTTTGACTCGTTCAAACACGAGCTGAACGGTTCCAAAACCGTTTCCCTAGATCTGAGGGGATCACAACTCCACTCAGTAGTGATTTAAGGGGCGGTTACATCCCATTAGCCCCACTTAGGAGCGAATTAAGGAGGTGGTTACACCCCTTAATCCCCTATAAATAACTGAAAATCAATTCAGTTCAGGGTTGGGTCTGTTAGAACTTCTTGGCTCGTAAACAGGATCCTTAGAGCATTTCTGGAGCTTTGAAGATCGGCAACAAGATCTTCTTCATCCTTGGCTTATAACCGACTTTCGGTTAAATCAACTCTTTCATAGAGTTTCAAACTCGTTCAGAGTTCTCTATAACGTCAAATCGTGAGGAGAAGACCACGTTCCAGTGAAACAAGACATCGGATCGTCAACGAGAAGCAAACTCGACGCGAGCATTCGAGGGAGGCATCTCATCGCCACCGTGAAGAACCTAGATTTAAACAAAGGGGAGAATCCAGATAATTCTTCTCTCTTTTGTAATCAGGAAATCCAATTGTAACTAAGATTAAAGGAATACAAGTCAATTTTCTTTCATTTCTTTTACTGCAAATTTTTCCACAAACACACTTATTGTGAAAACACGTTGTAATACACAAAGACTCTTAGAGGAGTGGTTGGGAGAGACCAAGGTCAATTCTAAGAGGAGTGACTTGGTTGTAAAAGCCTAGAGAGATGTAGTAATTCCAAACACTTGAGAAAGGTGACACAGGTAGGCCAACACTTAGAGGAGTGTATTGTGGGACTGACAATGTGTGATTGTAAAAGTTTTTAGTGAGCTTTGAAATCCGTTTGTGTAGTATTTGTGATTAGCGGAGAATCTCATCGATGTGAGGAGCGGGGACGTAGGTCAAAGGTTGACCAAACTTCGTGATTATATCATTGTGTTTGTGATTGTTTTGGTGCACTACTTATCTTTATATCTTGTGCATGTTTATATCGCCTATTATTTTATTGCTTATCCTTGCATATATCATTGAATATTATATTTGCTAGGATATTGCATTAGAAGTTTTATTTTAGCATCGTAATCAGATTAGATTAGCAATAACCCTATTCACCCCCTCTCTAGGGTACTTTCAATAATGAGGTGAAAGAAGAAACTTAAGCAAAAGTTTCATAATAAAGAATTTTTTTTCATGAATACTTAAATCACATCAACATTATGCACTCATTTTTGAATCAACATACTTTAATTTTCCGAAGTCTTTTTTAAAAAATGTATCATTTGTAGCTGGTTTTTCCATAATAATTCACAACTACATATTATAACCATTTTTAAGACTTGACAAATTGACAATATACTATAACTTATACAATTAAACTTGTTTCAAAATAATAAGAAGAAATAAAATAACTTTAATTATCATATTTGTAAAATAATTGTATAGTACATGAACATAGAAAATTCATTTCACATACCTATTGCTTAATGTAAAACTTTATGTAAATGAAAGAACATCATTTCACAATTCCATTATAAGACTGTAAAACCACATGAAAATATGAACCACGTTTCAAATTTCTACTATATAAAATTAGTATGTGAAAATTGAAACCTCATTTCCCTATTATACTTGAAATGGAAAGAAAACTACATGAAAATATAATGTGATCTGATGTGTGTATATAGCATCTTTTTCCATATTAATCGTCTAAATTTCCTAAGTGATTAAAAATTAGTTTCTCTACTTAGAGCCTAGAGGCTAAATGAAATTGAGAAAAAATTTTATCATCTTTTAACAGTTTTGGGTGCAACCAACAATTATATCCATATCCATTTAAATTCAAAACTCTAAAAAAAAAAACTTCACTACAATACAAGATATTGGTAAAAGATTATGATAGATGAGACTTGAAAATACTTATTTTGAGCTGATCTTTTTGGATTTTGGTCTTTATTTTGGTTGATTTAGTAATTCATTATTTTTGATTAATCACTGTCCAACTGTGGTTAAAATTTTGGTAAATGTAACAAATAACAATTTCAAGTATTTCAAAGATTTGTGGCAAATATGAAAGGGTTGGGGGATTAATTGAAATATGAAAGATCTAAGGGGCTAATATGGAAAAAACACTTAAACAAAAATATTGACAAAAGCAAATAAAGTGTAACTCCTAGCGTAGTAAAAAAAAAAAAAAAAAATCAACCGAGCGCTTCAATAATAACAAGACGACGATGGAGAAGCAGCAAAAGAGAGAGCTTTATCAATGCGGTAGAGGCAAAAGCCTACACCCTCTCTCTCTACCTCTACTTATTTCACGTTAGGTTTCTATAAATAGCAAAGTGAGCTGCCCTCTCTTTCTCCACTATACAAAACCTTTCCTCCTTCATCTCTCCTTCTTCTTTCTTTTGAGAAATTTCTGAATTAAGCTCTGAAAAAAAAATTGAATTTTTAATGGGGAGAGGGAGAGTTGAGCTGAAGAGGATCGAGAACAAGATCAACAGGCAAGTGACCTTCGCGAAGAGAAGGAACGGACTCCTCAAGAAGGCCTACGAGCTCTCCGTGCTCTGCGATGCCGAGGTTGCCCTCATCATCTTCTCCAACCGTGGAAAGCTCTATGAGTTCTGCAGCAGCTCTAGGTATTATTATCTTATGTTGCATAAAATCCATCATCAAAAGTTGCTTTTTGTGGGTAATTTAATTTCTTGATTTTTTTTCCCACCCAATTTACACGTTTTGTTTGTGTTTTGTTTAATTGACGGTTCAGTGACAGTTAGTTTATTCTTGTTTTTGGATCTTCAATTTTCTTTGAGTTTTTAGTTTTTATTTATTTATTTATTGGGATAAAACCTCAGCCAGGCCTAGATCGATCGATCTTTTGCTTTTCAAGTCCCTTCAATAAAAATAAAATGGAGCAACAATCGATTATAATAGCTTCTTTGGCAAAGAACCATCATAAAAGGTTCTCCGTCTGCTGATCTAGTTCTACAATTTTAAGGTATAATAAAGGTAGTAGATCGAGTTGATTTTTATTTTTCCTTTCAAATTTCGATCGATCCAGTTTAATAAGATTATCAAGAAATAGTGCTGGAGTTGTTGTATTCTTTTTCGGTTTTCTTGAGGTTAGATCATTGGAAATCCCTGAAGAAGTTTTTATGGTTTAATATTGTCTTTGTTCTTTCTAGTTTGAGATTTATGACGATAAGTTTATAATAATTTTGGATCTTCAACCTTATTTAGATTTTAGTTTTTTTGGTGGGATAAATTCTAAGATGGGATGTTACTTTTCTGAGTCATTCAATTCAAAGAAAGCATAGAAAAAATTAATTCACTCTAGTCCCTTTATTTGATTTTGGCATTGATCTAGTCCTAAATTTCAAAGAAAGCTAGTAAACTTAGTACTTCGTCCTTTTTTTTCTTTCAGATTTTGACGGATGCAAGAATTTTGTGGATCTTTTTGCTGATTTATTTTTTTCTTTATCATAATTGTATGTGTTTCATGTTTGATGTTTAGCATAAACATGTCTTTTATACTTAATTTTTTAAAACAATTATAGATCAACAGGTTTCCAAAGTTTAATTGTTGAGATGTTTCTAGATTTTTTTATTTAAATTTACATTTTTTTCTTTTTTGGGATAAAATTTATGCGGGATAAGATCCTTCAGTTCTTAAGTACTTAAATTCTAAGAAACTAAATTAAAAATAAAATAGCTTTTTCTGTCCTTTTTCTTCTTGAGCTCCCAGGGTTTCTTTTATAATTGATTTAATTCTATCTCCTCCCAAGATCTAGGTCAGTTTCAATATTTCACGTAGTCTAATTGATCGTCATTGACGTTATTATTATTATTATGTGATTTTTTAATTCTTATATGAAATATCAATGTAGTTTTCTTTTCCTCCCTCTACTTATTGTATTTTTCTATTTGTGTCATTTTGATGTTTAGTGATAACATATTTATATTCTTAATATCTTCTTTATTCTAGTTTTGTAGTTTTTTTTTATAAACTCTTAGCTGGATCCAGGATCTCTTTTTCTTTTCTGAAAGTCCATAAATTCAAAGAAATAATAGAAATAATCATAGAATAGCTTCTTTGGCCATTTAGCTCTTTGAACTTCTAGGGTTTTCTTCTTAAAACTTAATCTACTCCTCTTACATATATTGTTAAGATTTTCTAGACTCTTCTATTTATGGAACCCTTTGTAGATTTTGATTTTGGCGTCAAACCCCCCCTTCTCTTTTTAAACAAGTACCATTTAATCTTTGGGGGTGTTTGGTTCACCCATTTTGTAGAAAAGTTTTAGGAAAAGAGCTGACAATGGCAATTAGCCTCAAGAAATTATATAATAACTTCAAAGCCTTGTATTATATCATTCGATATTTTTTTCTTAAAAAAAAAGTAAAATTGCAAATAGTTTGTTTTGTTATGGACCTTTGTAGCAAAAGAGAGCAAATAACGCTCTTTCCTTGCTTCAATTTTGAATCATGGATTTCATTAATTTATTTAGCTTTTTTTCTCTTTTTTGAGAAATCTAAGGTTGGGATTTGTGTTTCCCACAGTCCACTGTGTCCAAATATGCTTCCATATGATTCATATTTGATCTCTTAGTTAAAAACCTAGCAGGCAATGTTTTGCTTGGGGGCCTTGGTCGTCTCTAGTACTTGACAATCTGAGATATTTTTTGGTTTCTGTTCCATCAAAAAGCTAGGTTTTGTAGGAGATGTCACTCTCGCAATCAATTGAGTTGAACTTTCATAGCAAAAGCTTTATAAATTTTGAATTGTCATTATTTTGTAACTTTCATTAATTCTTATGAGATTTTGGTTTTTACCAATCATGATTATTATTAGGACTTCAAAGTAGATTAAGATGAACCCAGTTTTCTTTATTAGTTTTTTTTAAATTGCTTTTGTTGATTAGGGTTTAATGGCCCACCTTCCACATTTCTTCATCATCTCTTTTGTCATGTTCATTCTCCCATTTCAACCTTCCTCATATTTTAGAAAACCTAGGGTTCCTTTGAGCTTTTATTTTATGCACATCCTTTTATCCATCCAAAATCATAGCTTGTCTTTGATATTTCTCAATCTTAAGTTTAGGATTTGTGTTTAAGAATTTATGAAATGGATTTGTTTGTATAATCGATCCAAAATTTCCCGCTTTGATCAATATATTACCTTTATAGAGTCTTTAGAGAACTAGGTAGTAGTTATTGTTCTTCTAAAATAAAAAAAGATGATTATCTCATACTAAACTTTAATTTTCACTTACTGTATATATTCAACTACAAAATACTTCACAACATTTTGAGTTTTATGCAAAAAATGTGCGATCACTGTACTTTGAAGTTACTAGAAATTTGTTCTGTTTGTTCTTTTCAAAAAAGAAAAAAATTGTATCCTAAATTGTAAATAATGTTAATTTAGTTATGTTTATCTTTTGTCCTTTGTAAAGTTCTAGGTTGGTATTTGTGCTTCTTCATATCCAGAGATCCATTGTGTACTTTATAGAGTCTCCAGGACAATACATCTAGGTTATGTCCTTTGGTTGGTCTTGAGTAGTCCAAGTGTGCATTGTCTCACCAAGAAGTTAGGGTTTCTATGAGGTGTCAACCTAATTAATTACCAATTCTTTTCCATCACATTGATTGACATAACATTTTACATCATAGTTTATCAAGTGAAGTGTGTTTCATTAAATTTTGGCTGCAAGATTCCTTTCCATTCTTTTTTGGTTTTTGTGATGTGTCTGTATTGACATCTGCCCATTTTCACACTAAACACCTTCATCTTTCAATATATAACACTAGTCTAAAAAGACATTTTTGCACAATTATTACTAATGTATTCTATTTGCTCAAATAAAACGTATTAATCTCTTTATAATAGTTGCTAGACAAATCATTGTGATTTGCGCATGATCAACTTCATTATTGTAAATTTTTGCAAAGATGATAATTCTAGGATATGTTTTTTGTTTCGCTCTTTTGTTTGTACCATTCCTGCCGATAATTGATTTTTCTCGGGCAAATTAGATCTTCACTTTTTCTTTTAGTTATTTCTCTTGGTCAATTGAAATTTAAATGGTTGCTCCTTGGTTGTTTGCCTTAAAATCCATAATCTGCATCTTTTGCCTCTCTTTTTCCTTTCTGTTGATATCTGTTTTTCATAAATGAGTTTCCATAACAATCTATTCTCTTGTCTAGACTTATTGTGGATAGCAATTTTTACCCACTGTATCTCATATGTTATTCATCTGTATATTTTGCCAAATCTTCTACAGAACTAGAATAATCTTACATAGTTGGCCATTTCAAAGGAAAGAGACCTTGAGAATGATAACGATTATCATGTCAATATAATAATAATAATTATTATTATTATACGAATAGCTTTCGTAGAAAGTGAATAACTCACTTTCTCAAAGTATGACGGTCTAATATCCTATTGCCGATCTAGCATTGTACTCTTAAAAAAAAAGAGAAAAGAAGAAGAAGATTTGATAGCTTATAAATAGTCGGATGTATACTGCTCCACTGGCCATGCAAATTTTCTCTCATATTCGCGGCCACACAATAATTATACAGTTAAGTTCTAACTACATAACCATATCAATAAATAAACTGGAACCAAAAGACTAAAATGCATGTAGTTTGCTAAAACAAAAGATTCCATTTCTTTTCAGTTTCTCTGATTATGAAGAAGAAACTCTTATATCTTTTGAAAAAGAAAATTGAGATTGCACCTTAAATTGGATGGAAAAACTATTGGTGGGGCTATAACAGATTCTTTTCTTTTACAATATCTCTACTTTAAAATGTATGTAATTTTACATCTAGATATGTAACATCATATTCGTGTTAGAATATTAGACTATAACCCTTAACCTCCGCAACAACTTCTGAGTTTTGGTATAGTGGAAGGTACTTTAATATGTTATCAAAGCAACCTTAGTTGTCATTATGTAAAATAACCTAGGTTTTGATCGACACATCAAACTGGTTCTCAACCTAGGTAAAATAACCTAGGTTTTGATCGACACATCAAACTGGTTCTCAACCTACAAGAACATGTTAGAATATAAAAATTATAACTCTCAACTATCATTGTGATTTTGAAGCTAAGTGTGATAAATGCAGAGCAATGGAGGAGAAAAAGTCATGTTTCTTCATTAATATAATAGTCTTTATATACATTATAAATAGAGATTGTTTTATTATCCTACCCAATGTGGAACTAAAGTAGTCTACATATGTACAGTATTTAAAACCAACCCCCTTTCAAAATTACAATTAGGTTGACCAATGATAGTTTGCCAAGAAGAAATAGATGTCATTGTATAGTTTGCATCTTGGTGAATAGGTTTGCTACTTGGAGATTGGTGTTCACATAGGGAAGAGAGGTAGTGCTAGAAAATAGTGATGACAAGTGAAATGGTAATCTATCTCAGTATGCCTTGTGTGCTCATGGAAGACTTGGCTGCTAGCAATTTTGATTGCACTCATGTTATCGCAATGTAGAGGAGTCACTATTGTGGAGGGGCTCACAAGTCGAGGAGAAGTCGTGGTAACTAGACAATCTCTATAATGGTGGATACCATGGCTTGATACTTAGATTCATCACTAGAGCGAGAAAGAAC